TCATAGGAAGCTAGGCTTGTTTCATAGTTCTCTATCAATGAGTCTGATAAACCTTTAAAAGCGTTCGTGAGGAGGACTCCAAGAAGAGGAGGAGTAGAAATGGAAGAAGCTGTCAAGGAGAGAGAGACTGGAGGTTGTTAAAGGATATATATATATACACTAAGCTGCTTGTATAGATTGTTAAGGCCAGTTCATTAGTGTGTTAATGAATGGCTATATATATCTATTATCCTTTTCCGTTTTGAATATCATAAATTTGAGAGAAGTATTGACGTGGGTAGAGTTTTTTATCTCTGTAATGGGGAAAAACTCTGTATTGTTTTTTTTGCCACCTCATTTAGAATCAATTGCAACTGTATTTAGAATCAATTGCATTTATATTTAGAATTAATTATGATGTTGCAATTATAATTACACGGTTTCATTAAGGGTAATATGGTCTTTTCGAAGAGAATTTAATGTGTTATGTTTTTTGTGGTGTATCGGAGAAATTGCTGTGACCCTTTTGGTATATTTGAGTGATTCGCCCCCATGAATATCAAAATGGATCACTTTGAATCTCGCATCACCGATGTTCAGTCCAGTGTTGCGTCGATTCAGAAGGATGTTACTACCATGATGGAAAAGATGATATCGATGATGGAATCGCAGCGTGCTCCAGGCCCCTCGATGCCACCTGCGGCAGTTTCAGGTGAGATTTCTTCCTCTTCCCAGTCGACTCTTCACAGGGAAGGAAGGCTCCACTCCTGGATACACCGATGTTGCCGACGTTGATGGAAATCCCTGATGCACTGTTACCTAACTGTGCTCAGTTCATTGCAGGTGCGGGTCTGACTTATCAAAAAATCGAAATGCCAGTCTTCGAGGGATCCAACGTGGCTGGTTGGGTTGCAAGGGCTGAACGTTATTTTCGGTTGGGTAACGTTGCGCCGACGGAGTGGCTCAATCTCGTCTCCCTGAGCATGGACGACGAGGTTCTCCACTGGTACGATTGGCAGTGTGGCAATCGACCTTTAGTGGATTGGTCTGATTTCGAGCAGAGGCTGCTACGCCGTTTTGATCACCGTCTAATGGGATCTGTCGGTGCTCGATTGTTCTCCCTTCACCAAAAATCCTCGATGCTTGAATATCATCGCGGGTTTGAAGAACTCCTCGCCCATTTGGTTGGCGTCCCAGAGTTTGTGTTAGAGTGCGGCTTCAAGAATGGATTACGGGCTGATCTCCGGAATGGTATTGAGGTTCTGAATCCTCAGGGGTTTGAGGCTACGATCGAGCTAGCGTTTCACTTGGACGGACCAGTTACAACATGACGTCTGAGCTTTCGAAATCCTCTGATCACCAGTCTTCGAAACAGTCGACAGGAGCGATGGGAAACGCTTTCCGGACTGTGACGATCCCGACAAGTAGGGTTGGTGGTCATATTCGTGGACCCAGGGATCGCCGCCACGAGTCGATGGGCTTGCCGGCTTCAGGCCCATTATCTGGGGCCCATGTTGAGCCCACTTTTATTCGTCCGTAGGGCACATTTCGGAAAATCTTTGATACAGAAATGGAGGACCGCCGGAAGAGGGGACTATGTTTCCGTTGTGACGAAAAATACTTTTTCGGTCACAAGTGCAAACTCAAGGAGCTACAAGTAATCATGGTCCAAGAGGACGAAGATACACTTTTGGCCGCCGATGCTCACCCAGACCCCGTTCCGGAGGAGCCGCCAGTTGCGCCGTAAATTGCTGAGTTGTCTCTCAACTCTGTCGTTGGTCTGACATTGCCGAAGACGCTGAAGCTTCAAGGATCGATTTCGGAGCTACCTGTTATGGTGGATAGTGGCAGAGTCATGATATTGGTTCGAAATTCAGATTTTGTGCTGATAACGTCATATCTGATATAAACCTTACTGTGCTGATGAATGTTTTGAAGAGATACCATCTTGATGAATCCGTTAAGATCATAGATTTACATCACAAACCCCGGGTGAGTTTTGCTATTCTTTGATGGCTCAAATTTGGAGAGGAAACTTGACATCTTCCTGTCACTTATTACATGTCACGAAAATGTTCAATCTATGACAAAAAACCTATAGTAATGGCTTTAAGAAAAGGAGCAAGGAGAAGTAGGCAAATAGTCTTCCTGTTATATATATGTATTATATTGGTGCTTTTCGGCTTTGTTTCTGGCCAGTGTCTGTGCTTCTACTTTTATGTTTGAATTTTGCATTTGGGGATTGTTGCTATAAGGTTAGATTGTTGCTTCAGTTAATTTCATGTCTAAGTTTCAGTTTAGTTGATTTCTGTTTAAATTTATACAGACAATGATTGAGAGACTTCTTTTGAGCCCAAAAAAATGGTGGTGAGTTTCATGTTTATTTTTTCAAAGGTAGAACCATTCATGTTTCTTACTTCTGAAGTAGAACTTTTTCAAGTTGCTTCTATATGTGATGCATGTTTAATTTTAGGGTAATCTGCTTTCTTCAAGTCCTTTGCATTGTGAGTGACCTGAGATATAGAATTGAATTTAGAAAAATGTTGTCTTGAACTTAGATTGAGTACCACCCCCTAAGTAGCCATTGTGTGATCTGGAGTCGATTTTTAAATAGTAAACCGGAAAATCTCTACCGTGTTTATAAACATGGTTTGTATATGGACATGATTAATTGTTACTAATTTAGATTTTTAACTGTCTTAATATGTGTTTGTTTGTTTGGTTGTAGAATCATCGGTTCCTTGCCCTGTTTTCTTTTCCAGCTCCAACTTTGGTGTTGTACTGATAGTTTCCTCAAGGGAGAAGACGGTCACTGCAAGTTCATGCTTTGAAGTTAGTGATTCTCTCCGGTCGGAAGTTCAGTTGTTCTGCAACTTTCTTTACTCGAGGAAGATCTTGCCTCTTGATGATAAGTAAAAAAAATTTCTTCACAAACATTGTCCCACTCCAACCTATGTAGCATCACGTCCCGAAACCTCCCGTGGAAAACGAAATCTCATTCTCGTGCCTTAATTTCGGGGAAACATTGCCATTTTTCCCGTTCCTCTCCTACCTTTTCATTTCTTTAAGATACATCTCTTCCACCATTGGTTCCGAGAGACAAACTATTATACAAATATGTTGCATGGGTCATAAAATGCACTACATAATTATATTTTACTTCTTATGACAACTCGATTATCTGATTCTTTAATATTACAAATAATATCATTTGGTCACACTAAAGAAATACATGAATATACGAGTCTTCTACATTTATTGAAAAAGACATTTGTGCGTACAGAAGACTTATTTTGGTCAGAAATGTGTTACGAAAGTGTTAGTGATGAATATACTCATTTAAAATGTTTTACTTCTCGGTCCATTCTAAGATTTTTTTTCCCTAATGCATTTAAAACACCGTTCCAAATTCTACGATGCTTGATTTTTATCATCTTTTTATCGTGATAGAGCCGTCTAATACCATGTGTAAGTGATGCGATCGGAACACGATCCTAGAATTTATCGGTATGATAATATACAACTATTAAAAGACTATAATTATGGTGCAATATTAAGAGATAAAATGTTATTTGTTATTGGAGTCTTTATTAAATAAATAATTTTTTAAAATTTAAAATCAAATATATAAATAGAACCGTTACAAAATAGAAATTTATAAAAACTCATAATTACTAAAACATTTATTTTAAAAATAAAAAATAAAATAAAAATTTTCATCTGCATCTAATATACTATAAAAACTCAAGAGATACACGAATATAGGAGTCTTCTAGACCTATTGAAAAGGGCTTGTATGCATAAAGAAGGCTTGTTCTGGCCAGAAATGTGTTACAAAGTGTTAGTGAGGATTATGTTTACTTTTTGTAAATATAATCATTTAAAACGTTTACACCATTTCAAATCCAAATGCACATATAACAGATGTAACGTTGCTTAGTTTATATGTATATATATATATATATATTTCGGTTGTTGTGCTTTGTGCTTATCAAGTATATATTCAAATTTTTTAGAAGAAAAAAAAGAGAGTCTTACATTGTAGAAATTTACGAACGTATTGTAGAAATTTGCGGAACGATATGTTTTATTGATAATCAAAATAATATATAAATAGATGAGAGTCTTACATTGAATAAACAAAGTAGATATAATAATAAATATTTATAAATACATATTTTTCGGATTTGATAAATTCTCCATTATATGATATATCTTGTAATATTCTTCTAGATCCGGTATATCTCAACATCCCCTTCAAGTTGGAACGTGGAAGATCACGAAACCCTAACTTGCTAAAAATATGATCAAACGCATGCCGCTTGAACCACATCACCTTGCAAACTTGTGTTGATAGAAGACATAACTAAAAAAAATCAAACAAACGACTGCGCTGCAACTTTGGCACCACGCACAAAAGAATCGTTTGACGATAACAAAAAAAAGGACGACAATCGTTGTGCAGAAAGAAGTCTCGGGAATAACTCTGATTCATCCGAGATTGAAAGGCAACTACGCGAAAGCGTTTAATAACAACAAATTTTTTGGCAAGAATAAGATAAGTCAGTAATGCGAATAATCTTTAGAAACATGTAGGATTATGAGAGAAAATAAAAAAAATGACTCTCTTATTCTTAATAAAAAAACTCGAAATGATATTACCACTGGATCGGTATATCATCATCTTCATCTTCACTCTCATTATCGATCATCATTTTTATGAAAAGGACAACAAATTAAAAAGAACCAGAAATTCTGATACCATGTAGAAATTTGCGGAATGATATTTTTTATTGATAATCAAAATAACATATAAATAGATGAGAGTCTTACATTGAACAAGTAAAGTAGATATAATAATAAATATTTATAAATATATATTTTTCGGATTTGATAAGATCTCCATTATACGATATATCTTGTAATATTCTTCTAGATTCGGTATATCTCAACACGTATTTTCGTATATAAACCCTTGATTGCTCCACCACATTTCACACATCCAAAAGAGAGCAACAGAAATAAAAATAAAATAAAATAAATTTGTGCAACAATGTCTTTCAGAAGTCTCTCACTGGTCCTATCTTTTGCTGCTGCTGTCCTTTGTGGTTCACGTCCATGCTGCGAAGCCGAGAAGGCTTGTGAAGAAAGACAACCGTTTACATGCAACAGCACCGATTCTTTCAACAGAGGGAGCTTCAAACCCGGGTTCATCTTTGGTGCTGCATCTTCGGCTTATCAAGTATTCAACTCTAAACCCTAAACTCCAAATTATATACGATGCATAGAGTTGTGAGATACTCATTCTAACTGTATCGTATGTTATATTATATCCGATGGTATTTTGTTTTCACCTCTTCGATTTGTTTCAGGTTGAAGGAACCGAAGGTAGAGGTCTTAATATTTGGGACGGTTTTACTCATCGATACCCAGGTGGACAACTATATCTTTATCATTTATACTTGTTATATATATATATATATTTATATATGTATATATGTATATATTGTAACAATATTTACAGTATTGACCGACGTATAAAAATAACGTTTAGCGTTCTTTGGTGCGATAAATCTCTCCAACAGTAAAAGGAGGACCGGATAAGCGCAACGGAGATATTGCATGTGGGTCTTACAAGCATTATCAGGTTATTTCGAGTTGTGCTATTTTGTTTGCCCTTACTTGGTAATGGGTTTATTATGGATATACATTTATATTATGTATTATATATTTATAAACAAAATTGAAATAAGTGGAAATAGAAATTTTAGAGGATTGATCCCAAATAAATTGGGTGTAAGACGATTCGTTGTTGTTGTTGTTGTTATTATTATTAAGAAAAAATACTTTTTATATTAAAAACATTTCTAGTAAATGAATTTGAATGAAATACAATATATATGTGTGTGTGGGGGGGGGGAGACTAGAAAAATTTTTCATTGGGGCAATACAAAATTTATTATAATTTAAGAGAAATTTCAATTTATGTAAGTATTTAACCATTGTTATTTAAAGTTTATAATGAAATTAATTTTTTTAATAAAAATATTGAGGGCATAAGACTCTATTACTAATAACCTGGGTCTGCCCTGTATATTATTATTATTATTATTATTATTATTATTATTATTATTATTATTATTATTATTATTATTATTGTTATTGTTGTTGTTGTTAAGGAAAAATACTTTTTATATTTAAAAAATTTCTAGTAAATAAATTTGAATGAAATACTAATATATATATATATATATATATATGTGTGTGTGTGTGTGTGTGTGTGTGGGGAGCCTAGAAAAATTTATTGGGGGCAATACAAAATTTGTTATAATTTAAGAGAAATTTCAATTTGTTATGTAAGTATTTAACCATCGTTATTTAAAATTTATAATGAAATTAAATTTTTTTAATAAAAATATTGAGGGCATAAGACCCTATTACTAATAACCTGGGTCCGCCCTATATATATATATATATATATAAAATCCTAACATGCAAGCGTATTGTAGAAAGATGTTGATGTAATGGTCGATATGGGAGTCGACGCCTACAGATTCTCGATCGCGTGGTCGAGAATTATTCCTAGTACGTGTCTTTAATTTTCTTTTTATCATAGTTGTTCGTCAATCAATGTAATAAAATATTTTGATACCTAATAACAAACTAACTAAATAAATTTTGTCTTGATTGTGTTCAAGGAGGAAAGGCAAGTCGAGGGGTCAACGAAGAAGGCATAGAATACTACAATAAACTCTTAGATAGCCTTGAAGCAAAGGGTATACATATATAAACATATACACACACACTTATATACATGCACTATATATATATATATTTATGAATACATTCATGCATGGATCCCGTTATTGTTTTGGAGCACAGGGATTAAGCCGTTTGTCACCATCTTCCATTGGGACCTTCCTCAAACATTGCAAGATGAGTACGAAGGTTTTTTAGATCGTCAGATCATGTAAGTGTACTTTATATAACCTTTAAACAATGTTAGAGATCATGATTTCTGATAAGTTAACTATGTCATATTCCATATCACATAACATACTACGGATATTAAACAAAATTGTTTTTTTTTTCAAATGTAAATATAGAGATGATTTCAAAGACTACGCAGAGATCTGTTTCAAGAGATTTGGTCACAGAGTGAAACATTGGATGACGATAAACCAAATCTATACCATCTCTACAAGGGGGTATGCAACCGGAACCGACGCACCTGGTCGATGTTCGTCTTGGCTCAACAGAAACTGCTACGACGGAGATTCTGGAACAGAGCCGTACATCGTCGCACACAATCTGCTCCTTGCTCATGCGACTGTGGTCGATCTATACCGGAGGAAATATCAGGTTCAATATTAACAACCAAGTTTAGGTTTTTTCTTGGCAACATTTATATATATATATACACATTTTTATAAAAAAAACGTTTACATACATTTCGTAGATATATAAAACATCTAACCCTAATTTCTGTAACCTTTTTTTTGCAAGAAAATCCAAGGAGGGCAAATTGGAATCACAATGATAACGAGATGGTTTATTCCTCGCGATGATTCGGATGAGAGTCTTAAAGCTGCCGAGAGAGCCAAAGAATTCTATCATGGATGGTATACACAGTTACACATACACATTGCTTCTTATTAAAAAAGGATTCCTTACCATTAATTAACTAAGACAATGAACTCTTTAACCAAAAAAAAAAACTAAGACAATGAACTCACAGAACCCTAAATCTTCAAGAAAACCAAACATGGTACAAGGGTTGTACTGAATTCATTTATGAGTCTATATGAAGTTGTGTTTGTTTTTTGGTATAGGTTCATGGACCCTCTAACAAAGGGTTATTACCCGCCAATTATGAGGAAAATGGTTGGAGATCGTCTACCAAGGTTTTCCGCAACAGAATCGTTACTTGTGAAGGGATCATATGATTTTGTTGGCATCAACTATTACTTAACCGATTATACGTATAGTATCGACCCCAATCCTCCCCATAGACTCCACATGATGAACGACTCGCTCGCAGGAACATCATGTACGAATATGTTACATGGATTTATATCGCCGATATCGTTCTTTTCTCTTACCAATCCCTATTAACGCTCTAATTCCTTGTTACAGTCCATAATCACAAGGGTCCAATCGGACCATCGGTATGCTCTCATAGAACTGATACTATTTTTATTGTTTAGGTAATTAATTCTAACAAGTTTCTTTTGATGATATGGAAATATTCCAGTTTGGTATCGACTCCCACTATTATCCAAGAGGCATTTTAAAGGTTCTTGAGTCCTTCAGGGAGAAATATGATAATCCTATGATCTATATAACCGAAAATGGTGAGTTTCATCTTTGAATAAAGTTTCACATATAGTATAAGATATGAAATAATATACACATATATAAAAATGTATTAATGTATGCATAGTTCAGTTCTGCCAAATGCTTTTTAATAATTAAAAAATTATATCAATTTAGAATGTGGAACCTGTTTCGTCTGGTCTATTTGGGTTTGGTATGGGTTGATTTTCATTTTTTTTTAATTCTAGGGTTTCAAAGTCACCGTAGGTCAATGGATGAAAACCTTCGTGACTATGAGAGGATAGACTATCATTGCAGTCATCTTTGTTTTCTCCGATCAGCCATCAAGTGAGTCCTCTCTCTCTCTCTCTCTCTCTCTCTCTCTCTCTCTCTCTCTCTCTCTCTCTCTCTGTCTGAGATGTGATATATTCCTCGTCTCTATTTGCATGGTTATGCAAAATTATGTGAGTAGACGTGTAAGTATATTTGCATTTTTTCGAGTAAATATATAAAACGAGAAACAAAAACTAAAACAACAGTTAAAAGACGTAGATACGAGTGGTGGCATTAATAAGCATGACGTATGAAAAATCGATATTTGTTGTAACTATAAACGTATTTAGAATCTCCGTTTTTTCTTTCTTTGTTCAAATCTGTAGGAGTGGTAGCAACGTGGGAGGATACTTTGTATGGTCCTTTCAAGACAACTACGAGTTCTGCAATGGTTACGACGTTCGTTACGGGATGAGTTACGTAGACTTCGACAATGCGACAACGGACAGAATGCTTAAGGATTCGGGAAAATGGTTCAGGGAGTTCTTAGGCCGAAAGATAAGAATCGAACAGAATGCTTAAGGATTCGGGAAAATGGTTCAGGGAGTTCTTAGGCCGAAAGATAAGAATCGATTAGCGTCATCATCGCTCTATGCGTCTTCCTAAGGATCGTTGAATGATTTCCTAAATATGATGGGCAAAAAGACTCGTGGATATCTACTTATCATCTTGTATCATAATACATCGGATATATAGAAAATAAAAAGGATCATGTAATCTTTTCACATAGTGCGTATATTAGCTCTCTGTTGACAATCTTTACTTGTAAGAAGAAATTCGAACACACATAGTCACAGACAGCGGTGTACAAAATTACCTGAATTACGTACGGTACGCAGGGCGGATCGGGAGGCCCACTAAACCGATTAAAAAACATTTTTTTCCACATAAATTATATAAATTTTTGAATAAAATTGTATAATGCTCCCATAAAATTAATATTGTTCATAATAAAAATAAAATTGCCCCCACTTAACTAATTCTCTAGGACCACCACTAACGGTACGGCCGGTCCAAAAATATCGATGTTCTTCAAACACATGACGTCAAGCTCGGGCGTAATATCTGAGAGTTTGTGTACGAATTTGTTTTTTCTCGGTTTCCAGTAAAATTGCAAAAATATCTTGTCCCTTTATAAAATTTACAAAATTGCTTTTAGTATTTCTTAAAACTACGAAATTATCATTGATCTCTTTTGAAAATTACAAAAGCGCATGTAATATTTATAACAAATATGAGATTATGTGAGGGATAAAGGAAAGATTAAAGAGATTACCATAATATTAAATAAATAGGGACAATCAACTAAAAAAATTATAAATTTTTAAAAATTCGTAAAGTTAATATATATGTGGGAATATGATAAAATTTATAAAGTTTATAAATTTATAAAATTTGTGTTTTTATATAAAACATTTTTGAAAATTGGTGAATTCTTGACGATTATCCCTATTAAATAATATTTAAATTTAATAATATTTCTGACTTTTAGATTTTATATTAAATAACTAAAATTTTCAATTATTGTATTTCATATCTATATATATTTTTTTTTATAATTTTAGATTATGAATAAAAATCACTTTACAATAATATTTTCTACTTGAATTTATAAATAGATTATACCTTTGTTTTTACTTAGAAATTCAGATTTGCATATTCGCAGGTACTCAACAATTCACTTGGATACTCGTATTTAATAGAGAAAGAGTGGAGATCAATCATTTGATTTATCATTATTAAGCATAGATAATTACAATATTTATATGTATAAAATAGAATCACAACATCTTATTTAATCAATATAAATATATAAAAAGGATAAATCCAAAAAATCCTTTAATTAAGTTTTTTTTATTTACACCAAAAAAACTTTCTATTTAAAAATAATCATAAAAAATCATAACTATACAAATTATTTAAAAAATAATAATAAATTATTAATTGTAATAAAAAAATCATCAATTATTAAAACCCTAAACCCTAAATCCTAAACCAAAATGTAAAAAGTATATATTAATATTTAAAAGATTATAAATTGATTATATTTTATTGTTTATAAATATTATATTTAAAATTTGATTATATATTAGTATTTAGAGATGGCAAATTATCAATTTAAAGTTTTTCGTAGATTTATATAATAATTTTAATAAAAAATCATCAACTGTTTAAAATTCTCAAAATACGTTCTATTTTAAATGTGAAAACCTATAACCAATAAAATATACTCAATTTACAATCTCTCAAATATTAATATATAATAAAATTTTAAATATAATATTTACAACCAACAGAATATATTAAATATTTAATATAATATTTGTATACAAATTTATTATATAAAGGATGATATTTATAAAGATTTATATAGGTTTTAAATATTAGAATATAATAAATTTAAATAAATATTATATTTTTATTGTAATTTTTAGAATTATATTTTATATATATTTTTATTCAAATTTTATAGATTTTTATAATAAATTTAAAACAAATTTTTTCAGTAATATATATAAATGATTAAATTTTTTTATTAAAACTAATAGCTGATTATTTTTTTTAACAAATTTAAAGCGAAAGATTATTTTAAAAAAAAATTATACAGTTAATGGTTTTTTTTACTCAAAATTAATAATTGATGGTTTTTTATTATGAATTTTAAGTAGAAGGTTTTTTTGGTATAAATAGAAATTTAGGAGTTTTTTTTTAGTTTTTTCCCATATGTAAAATATATAAATAAAAACAAATCTAAATATTACGCAATCTTCTCGTATCTTCTTCACATCTCTTAATATGCTCATTCAAACTCAAGGAGATAAGAAACAACTGCTTGAGGTTGAATTCTCAAAAAAAATAGCGGGATTTGATCATCGAACCTAGGTAAACAATGGATTGTTGGCGGATTTAAAAAGTTCTGTGTGATGCATAAATGTGGCATCGATGCACGGTAGTGTTTGTAGCACGACAATAATGTCGACGGTGCAAAAGACGTGATGGTTTAGCAGCTATGTTGAAAAAAAAATAAATAACGCAAATGCACGCGGCTAAAGCTGGAAAAAGAAAAAAAGAAATGTGGCGCAAATGAGCGAATCAACGATCGAAGTTTTTCAATCGAATGGGCTAAAAGTCGGATTTAGAAGGGATCCTTACAACGTTGAGTCATACAAGCTCTGATATCATAATAGAGAAAGAATGGAAAATTATTTGAATTCTCATTATTCAACATAGAGAATTAAAATATTTATATGTAGAAAATAGGAAGGAAAAACTTCTAAAAAACCTCTAACTTGCTAAAATATATACAAATAAACCTTCAACTTATAAAGTTATCATTCAATACTCAAACTTACAATTTGTAACTGAACAAAACTTCAAACATGCAAATTGTTACTGTTGACCAATGTGACCATATTTTCAGGCGGCCGAAAATCCACATTGGTTCGAAATGCTAATGCCATCGCAGTAACTTTAAATAAATTATTGTCACATCACCATTTTTTTGGTTCGATATTTGAATCGATTTGAGAACTCTAAACCCGATTTTCCATTTATTAAAGCGAATCCAAAAACCCTAAATGTCGAAAGGAGGAAAAATTAAAAGATGAAAAGCGAAACCCTAAAAATCCCTAATTTTAAACTAGATTCCCTAATTTGTTTTCTCGTCATCAAGTTTGGCTTCTCTCTGGAAATTCAAACATGGATCATTATGGTTTTTGCCGTTAAAATGATGATCTTCAGGTGAGAAAACTCTGATCTGAAGCATGCCCAGACGAGACTTCAGTTTCTCCTTGTCTTCTGTTGCTGTTTCTATTGCAACCTTAACGAAATCCAAATGATATTTCGGGTTCTGCTACTATTTCTCTGTTTAGGGTTTTGGGCGGTTTCAGAGATTCCATTGGGTTCTAGGCTTTTTGTTGGTGAAGATAGCTTATGGGCATCTCCCAATGGTGATTTCACTCTAAGGTTCTTCAATTCCTCTGATTTAGCAAATTGTTATAGTTTAACTCTCGAACCATCTCTCCTGATCAAAGTAACGTCGTCTGGGTTACTGGAGCAGATGTTACCATTAGTGACAACTCATACTACTCATACTTCGAATCACTCGGAATGGGAAACTGGTTTTGTTCGATTCCTCGTTGTGTGTTCCTGTCTGGAGCAGCAACACCAACTGAAATTCTGTCTCCGACTCTTCTTCGTGACGATAGTAATCTCATCTTGATGAATCAGAAGGATGAGATTGTTTGGCAAAGCTTCGATACTCCATCTGATACGTTGTTTTCAGGTTAGAAGCTATCACCTTCGAGATGCTTAGAGCTGCCAGCGAGAATTCTAAGTCGAGTTATTACAGTCCTCACATGGCAGATTCGAGCCGGATAGAACTGTGGGATAAAATTAGGGATTTTTAGAGTTTCTGTTTTTCATTTTTCAATTTTTCCTCCTTTTGACATTTAGAGTTTTTGGATTCGGTTTAGTAAATGAAAAACTGAGTTTAGGATTCTCAAATCGGATTAATTTTTGAACAAAAAAAAATGTTGTGGCAAAACTTTATTTAAAGTTGCTGATGTGGATGCGCTGACATTAGTATTCCGTGACAAGTGAATTTTTGGTCGTCTGAAAATGTGGTCAAACAAGTTTATTAGAGAAACAATTTGCATGTTCGAGGTTTTATTTAGTTACAAGTTGCAAGTCTGGGTATTGAATGACAAGTTAAAGGTTTTTTAGGGTTTTTTTTCTTCAAAATAGAATCACAACATATTTTATTTAATCAATATAAATATATAAAATATATAAATAAAATCAAATCTAAATATTACGTAATCTTCTCGAATCTTCTCCACATTTCTTAATACGCCCCTTCAAACTCAAGGAGATGAGAAACAACTGATTGATCTTGAATTCTTAAGAAAATAGTGGAATTTGATAATCAAATCTAGGTAAACAGTAGATTTTTGGTGGATCTGAAAAGTCCCGTTTGACGCAGAAACGTGGTGTAGAATGCACGGTATTGTAGTGTCGCACGACAGCAGTCGACGACGCAAAAGGCACGATGGTTTAGCAGCTATGCTGGAAAAATAAAATAAATAGCGCAAATTCGCGTGGCTAAAGCCGGAAAATGAAAAAAGAAATGTGGCACAAATACGCAAATCAACGATCGGAGTTTTCCAATCGAAGGCTAAAATCTGGGTTTATAAGGGATCCTTAAAACATTGAATCGTCTAATAGAGAAAGAGTGGAGAACCATTTAGTTTATCATAATTCAACATAGAGGATTACAATATTTATATGTAAAAAATAGAATCACAACATATCTTATTTAATCAATGTAAATATACAAAATATAGAAATAAAATCAAATCTAAATATTACGTAATCTTTTCGAATATTCTCAACATCTCTTAATAGTATTAGGGGTATTATTGTAACTATATGTAATAGAGTTTATTATATACTTGTATATATCTCCTGTAAAACATTATATAATACTATTGGCAATTCTATTATATGTTATCGAAAGTTGGTTCTTTTATTTTTAACGCTAGTCATCCCTGTAAGGTTTTTATACTTTTATTGTGGATCGGATATGATTATTATGGAATAAGGTTTGTCATGTCGGTTAAGTCCAATTAAATGTGATCGGGTTTTTCGTTTTAACCTATTGGACTTCGGTAGTGAATCGAGTATAGGGTTTAATATATGCGTAGATGCCGGTCGGTTATTATCT